AAGCAGAGGATGTTCCCGAGCCCTGGCAGGGTGGGATGGGGTGGGTGTGGAGCTGTGAGCAGGTGAGGAGGCAGCAGCTTTTCCCCGTCCCCGCTCCAGGCGAGCAGCTGGTTTCGGTTTTCCCGGTGCCTGCGAGTCGTGTGCTGGCTTTATGGAGGTGTTAACATGCCTGGGAGATGCAAACAGGTTGTAAAAGCCTCTTGGCACCTTGCTGGGGGATCCCTAATGTTTTGCAGGAGCACGGGATGGACGTGCTGCGGGAGCTCCGGGGCGGAGGGGCGGGAATTGGGGTGGGTTGGGTTGGGGCGAATCCACGGAAGGGGCTTTTTTTTGGGGTGGCTTTTCCCCCTGGATTTTCAGTTGCCATGCAAACAGGGTGAAGGTGTGGGGAGAGAGAATCACAGAATCTCTGGAGCTGGATCCATAAGGATCATCCATGCAGCTCCTGGCCCTGCTTGGGGCACCCCAGCAATCCCACCCTGTCCCTGGGAGCATTGTCCGTGCTCTTGGTGCTGTGACCAAACTCTGGGGAGGCTCTTCCAGGGCCCAACCACCCTCTGGGGGCTGCTTCCACCTGGAACGAGCTCTGGTGCAGTGCCCCAGTGGGAATTCCCCCCAGGAAATGGGGAGGATTTGGTTAATTTGCTGCCTGGTGTAACTCCAGGATAATTAAAGCTCAGCCTGTCACAATATTAATTCTGGATTCCATCCCAAAGATCCCCCTGCCCATGGATCTGTGCAGGTCAAAGGATGCCTCTCCCAGCCCAAGCCTGGAGTTCATCAATCCCTTGGCCAGGTGCAAAATCAGAGCTTGGAAGTGCAGGACACGTTTTTCCTGGATCATCCGGCCAGCTTCCATCTTCCCTGAGGGAATGTGCCCTGGGAAAGGTCTGGTCAACCTGCATGGTCTTTCTTTTGGCTTCAAAGGGGTCCAGCTTAGGGACAGCTCAATATTAAGCTGTAAGTGCCAGATTTCTCTTATCCCTTTGGGCATGGATTGCTACTTAAACCCAGCCTACTTAAACCCAGCTGTGCCAAGTGGTTTTATACACAGGAGAGCTGGAATTTTCCTTGCAGAGAGATAATAATGAATCTGAAAATAGAGTAATGATAATGTTCGGGCCTCAGTGTCCTGTGGGGCCCAAACCTGTCCTTTTAAACCCAGGAAACGAGAGTCTTCCAGTATATAATCCAAATAATATTTAGGCAATCTGATCTAAATATTAGTTAGTTGTATTGTAATAATATTCAGGTATATTCTAATAATGTTTTAGGCATTGATGTATTTTCACACCACATGAGCGGAGCCAAAGCAGATCTGGGATAAGCCAAGCAGATCCAAAGCAGCCTTTTTTTTTCCTGTGGGCTTTCCTCTTGTCTTTGTGGCTCAGGGAAAAAATTCCAGGCCATGGAATGCTGGGAGCCGGGACCCAAAGATTCCTTGCTCTTTGGGAATTTTTCCAAAAGGTGGAGGAAGAGCATCTGTTGAGTTGAAGCAATTTTTGGGTTGTTTTGGGTGGGTTTTTTTTTGGGGGGGGGGTCCTTCATGTCGTTCAACCCCCAAAGTCAAATATTAAAGCCCTTTTAACCCCCCAAAAGGTGCAGCACCTTTTTAGCTTTTCTTCTTCCAGGGAGGAAAACACCAGGAGGGAACAGAGGGGACAGAATCCCACTTCCAGAGGTGCCAATCAGTGGTTTGTTGGCTTTTCCCAGTGGGGAAAAAAAAAAACAAAAATCAGCCCTGTGGTGGTTCTGTATCCACGTGGAGCCCAATAAAGATGTTCCGGTGCAAGAGCTTGGCTTGGTGCCTAATTCTTTGCTTCAGGAGATGGCTCTGGATTTGGGAAAGCCTGGATCCTGCTGGCTGTGGAGGCTGTGGCTGCCTCCTCTCGGTGTTCTGTAGCCACTGGAGGGGGCCGGAGAACAGGGAATGCTCCAGTGCCAGCTCCTGCCTCGCCACCCCGGGAGATCCTGATTTTTTTTTCCCCCCGGTTTTTCAGGAGAGCCTGAAAACTTTCCACCTGCTCCCTCCAAACAGACCTCTCGTTCCCGCTCCTGCCTCCTTGGGAGCTCTGGAAATGCAGCTCCTCCGTGTGTCCTGGCATGAAAACACGTGGGATTCCTCAAAATGTTTGGATTTTTATAACTTAGCCTTCATTTTTGCAGCATTTTCGCTGGAGAACTCCCTCCAAGCTTCAGCTGCAGGAGTTCCTGCTGGTTGCTCTGTTCTTCCCAAGGGTCAGCAGGTGGATTTAGTCCCTGTAAGTGCCTTCAGTCCAGGGCACAGTCCCTTTTTTTCAGGACTCCTGCTTTTCCCATTTGGGAAGTGCTTGTCTGCTCTGGTGCCAGTCTTCCCTCTGAAGGCAAAACCAGAGTTTCTTCCCAGCTGGAAGAAAAAAAACCCATCCAATGGTTTTGGAATTCCAGTGGTGACGAACAAAACCAAACGAGCCCTAATCTTAAATTTTCCCAACTCCAGCCTTGAAATTCCTCTGCCACGGAGCAGGACCCTCCTGGCTCTCTGGGCATCTCCCCCCAGGGCCCCCGAAATGTGGTACCTCCTGGTGCATCTCTGGAGGTTTCTCCTCAGCTGGGAGAGCTCGGTGTGTCTGAGCTGCCAATCCCAGCACAAGCAACATGGAATTGTTGAGAGGAATCGCAGGTAATCCACCTGTTTCCCTCAGTTATCCCTCCATGGTGGAGGAGCTGGGAATTCTGGTCGCCTCTCAGTGAATTCCAGCTGTGACAGACTCCCCTCTGAGCCTGTCGTTGCGGCATTTTCTTTCTTATCACACTCAGGCACCTTTAAGGAAGAGAAAAGATCTCTTCTTGCACCGTGTGGTGCTCAAATATTTGCTCTGGGCTTTGAGAACCCACCAGATCTGGGGCAGTGTCCAAGAAATTCCTGTAGGATCCGTTATTCCCACTGCTGGGCAAGCCCCTCCTGATTTAACTTGTTGGCATTCCCTATCAGCTCCTTCGTGTCTTCCCTCCCAAAGGAGGCCTTTGATCCCTGGAAGAAGAAGAAGAAGAAGGAAAAAGGTTGTGGAGGGGAAAAAAGAAGGAAAAGGTTGTGGAAGAAAAAGAAGAAGGAAGAGGTTGTGGCTGTCCCTGGATCCTTGGAAGTGTCCAAGGTCAGGTTGGACGGGGCTTGGAGCCACCTGGGCTGGTGGGAGGTGTCCCTGCCCATGGCAGGGGGTGGCACTGGGTGGTCTTTAAGGTCCTTTCCAACCCCAATCTGCAGCCCCCCAGCCCACAGTCACACTGGGTAGTCATTCTCCTGCCTCCATTTCCCTCTGCATCCAGCACTTTCCCATCTTGTTCCATTTTCCACCTTTTCCCAATTTTTTTTTTTTTTTTGGGGGGGGTGGAGGGTGTTTTGTTGCTGCTGCTCCTGAGCCAAATGAAATGTGCTGTTGTTTACAGGAAAGGGCTCTTTGTTTTCCCAGCATCTGGTGTTTGTGAGGGGAATGACAGCTCTTCCCAGCAGAAAACCCTCTGGCCTGGCTGTGCCTGGCCAGGAATCCACATGTGCCACCACATCTTCATCCTAAAAAGGTCCTGGAAAATCCCAGCCACGTAGGAAAGGACTCAGAGCAACCTGGACCAGTGGAAGGTGTCCCATGGCAGGGGGTCCTTAAAGTCTTTTAAGATGCCCTCAAGGTCCTTAAGATGGTCCTTTAGGTCTCTTCCCACCCAAACCGTCCTGGCATTCCTTGACCCGAGTCAGGGAGATGGATAAGATGGAGTGGGACTACACTGCCCCTGATTAATGGCTTCATTCACCACCCCCCCCAGGCTTTCCATGAGCTTTCCAGACATCCCAGGCTGAGGTGATCCTTGCAGTCCCCTGCAGGCTGCCGAGGGAGTTTTGGCAGCTGCTCCCCAGCCCCGAGTTCCAGCTCGGCCAACTCAGCACTTGCCTTTAATTTGAATAATTTGGCGACATCCCTTTATTTGAACGTCTTTCCAAGCCAGAGGCTGCTTTTCCTCAGAGAAAATGAGAGTGGAAGGCTGGTAAAATGCCTGCAGAAACTGGGAGTTAAATTAAGAACTGGTTTTAAGAGCCCTGAGTGCACTTAAGCCCCCTGCAGTGGTGTCGGGAGCGCTGGGAGCTCGCGGTGCCCCTTGGAGGCACGGAAGGTTTGGGAGGCTCAGGGACTGGGGGGATTGTTTTGTGGGTGTTTCCAGCCTTTCCGAGCCTGGCTTTTGTTTGCAGTTGGAATGTATTAATAGGGGCATCCTTTGTTTTAATTCCCACAGAAGGCAGTTTTTACCGAAAAGGTCTTTATTTTGGAAAGTTTGGGCTGTGGAGCATTTTTGTATCGGTGTGGGAGCAGCTGGTGGAGGTTTGATCCATTTGATCATCTCTTCCTACAAGGACTTTTTAGAAAGGCCTGGAGGGACAGGATACAGGGAATGGCTTCCTGCTGCCAGAGGGCAGGGTTAGATGGGATATTGGGAAGGAATTCTTCCCTGGGAAGGTGGGGAGGGGTGAGGATGGAATTCTCAGAGAAGCTGTGGCTGCCCCATCCCTGGAAGTGTCTTCAAGGCCAGGCTGGAGCAACCTGGGCTAGTGGGAGGTGTCCCTGCTCGTGGCCTTTGTCACCCTCAGGTACTTCTTGAGCTGCAAAAGAATTTGGCTTTGCAATAAATATGTTGTGAGGCTTTCTGTTGCTTGAAGGTGTCCAAGTCTTTATCCACCTCAAAGCAGCCAGTAAATCCTAGAAGTACTACCCAGGAAAGCAGAAGCTTCCAGCTGTCCTAACTTCCCTCTCCATCAGTACAAACTTCCTTAAAGCTAAAGCATCCCAGAATCCCAGACCAGTTTGGGTGGGAAGGGACCTTAAAGATGACCCAGTCCCATCCCCTGCCATGGGCAGGGACCCCTCCCACCAGCCCAGGTTGCTCCAAGCCCCGTCCAACCTGGCCTTGGACACTCCCAGGGCAGCTACAGCTTCTCTGGGCACCAGAGCAGAGGTTCTTTGCCCCAGCTGGTGACCAGCCTGGAGGAGGGTTGTCTGGGACCTGTTGGACTGGGCAGTGCTGGGCTGCACTCCGTGATCTCACAGGTCTTTTCCAACCTGAGTTATTCCATGATTCCATCTGTGCTTTCCCCCGTGCCCGAAGGCTGTCCCTGCAGCATCTCCATGACCTTTGTGCCACCCCCCCACGGTGTCTGTCCGAGTGACCCCTCGCTCAAACAGCCCCAAATCTGTGCAATCTGGCAGATGGGAGCTATTCTGAGCCCAGCAGCCCGAGCCAGTGTCTGGTCCCTCTTGCTGGGAGTTGTTCTTACTGGGTGTTCAGTGAACTTTGGGTTGGATCCATAAACTCTCAGCTCAGTGATAACCCCAAATATTTCGTGCCTCGTAGCCCGTGAAGGATGCAAAGATGTCAGCAAAAAAGCTCCTGTGCCAAGGCAAACAAGGCCAGGAAGTTTTATTGTTCCCATTGCTGGGAACCTTCTTCCCTCTCTGGATGTGGCTGTGCATCCAGAGAGGCCAAGAGGTGCAGGTAAACATAAATCCCATATTTTTGTGCTGTCCAAAGACAAAAAACCCAGGCCAGTTGGAGGTTATTTGTGCTCTCAGACTTCTGTAACACTGAGAGGAGCTGCTGGGAACTGCTGCAGGTTTGTGTTTCCCAGCAGGAGCCATGGAAACAGGGTGGATACGCATCATTCCACCCTGAACCAGCACAGGGAAACCTGGGCTGGGATTCCCCGTGGGATCGATGCTTTTAGGCTCCCAACTGTGGTGCCCATCCAGGTAAGGAAGAGGTTCTTCCCCAGAGGGTGGTGGGGCACTGGAACAGCCTCCCCAGGGTGGTGGGCACTCAAGGAGCATCTGGACAGGGTGGGATTTTTGGGGTGTCCTGGGCAGGGCCAGGAGCTGGGTTGGGTGATCCCTGTGGATCTCTCCCAGCTCAGGAGATTCTGTGATTCCCTGATTGTTTTCTCTGGGATGAAAAACATTTCCTCCGGCTTTGAAGTGCCCGGTCCTTGTGAGCAGGGGGCAGATGTTCAGACAGGGCTGGGGGTGTTACAGGGGCTGATTAAATCAAGGCCTCTGGCAGGGATGTCATCCTGAACGTAGCCTGCCATGGAAAACACTTCCTACGCCGTGGAGATTAGATTGCAGAGTTCCTATGTCGTTTGAAGATTCAATTACAAATCAAATGGATCTTGGGAGCTTCTAGAGAGCCCCTCCCTTTAACAGGAGCTGTGGGATACCCCATGGAGCTTGGATGCCAACTGAGGGTCAAGCCTACATCCCATTCCTCCCAGTGCCTGCAGGAAGGGATTCCCAATCCCTGTGCAGGTGACTCCAGGTGTGCACAGAGCACTTTGCCTTCCCAGTGCCTAAAGCTCCCTCTCTGCCCCCTCTGCATCCAGGGAATTGAGCACCGGGCTCTGCAGCTCCACCTGGCTCAGGCTCAGATCCCACGGGGACCTCCAAGCCTGGGAGCATCCAGACCCTTTCCCCTTGATTCAGGAACGTTTTCCTTCTCCTCCCTTTCCCCCCCTCTGCCCAGACTCCCAAACAGTGGGCAGGTGCCCTGCCTGGTGCCTGTGATTCACCACGGGAGCGTGGGATTCCGGGACGAGGCAGGTCCAAGATTCCGGCCCTTCATTTCCCCGCAGCTGACGTCGGTTTGTTCCCAGTGGGAATAACAGGGAGAGAGGATTTGTCACCAGATGACCTCAGACGTTGAAGTCCCCCCGTGTTTCAGCTCTTACTCACAGGAGTGGTGGCCCAGAGGGTGGGTCAGAGCCTCCCTTCCTGCAAGTCGACGGCGGCCGCCGGAGAAGCAAAACCGGTTTGTGCCAGAAGAGTTTAATGGATTCAGGCCTGGAGAAGCCCCTGGAGAAGCTGGACTTGGGCAGTTTTTATTCTGCTGGTGAGACAGAGCTGGGCCTTTCGCTCCTGGCCTTCGCTCCTCTGTTCACCTGCCAGTCTGTCACGGAGCGGTGGATCCCGGATGCTTGGAGTTCCCAGTGGGCACAGCAGGTCCTGAGGAACAGTGGATCATGGACTCATGGAGTTCCCAGCGGGCACAGCAGGTGCCCAGGTAGTGCTGGAAGCAGCACAGAACCACAGGACTGGGTTTTTGGGGTCTCCAGCCAGATGAGGGAACGCAGAGCCCGATTTTTGAGGATCCAGTGGCTCGTGGGACTCTTGTCAGGCAGCGATTCAGCAGGAGCCGCTCTCTTCCCAAGGCTGCCAAGATCCAGGAGTTAATTCTTCTTCCATGAGAAGGCCAGAGCTTGCATCCAGCCAGTTCCCTGGGGTGCAGAGCAAGAAACTCTCCGAGAAAAAAAACCCACGCAGACACAAACAACCAGCAGACTTGGCCCGCGGCTTCGCAGGCAATGGGAATATCTCTGACATTCCTGCCGAGGTAATTGGACTGCAAGGAAGCTTCCCTGCTCTGCCTCTTGGATCCCAGGCAGCCAAAGGCCCATCCAAGCCAGGCTCTGCCTGCCAAAATGCTTCGTGGTCCCCTGAGCTGAGCCTGGGCTGGACACTTTTCCTCTGCCCAGTCCATCCCACCCTGGCCAACCTATTCCCAGGGATGTGCCCTGAGCCTCCTCCCCGGGAGCCCCACCCTCTCCTCGTGCATTTGGTTCCACTCCTTGGTGTTCCTCACGAGAAAGCTTCCCAAACAGCCCTGCAGAGGTTGTCCTTCCCATGGGGTCCTTCCCACGGAGCTGGGATGGGATCTGACCCCACCCCACGGCTCTTTTCTCCTGAGCCTTTGTCTGCACCTTCCCACTGCTCTGCAACCTTCCCTGAAATCCAAGCCCAAATCCCTGATCTCACCTGCTCTGAATAACACCCCAGAACCTGGGTTCTTTCCCCACTCAGTGCCAAGGGAAATGTGCCAATGCTTTCCAGGCTTTCAGGATTCGTGGGAATATGGAACCCTCCAACCTGGTAAACCCCATCTTTCTGAGCTGTTGTGTTTCCCTCTGGCCCCTGCAGCTTTGCAACTTATTTTTCAAGTTTTAAGATGCTCCCAGGTTTTCTCCTGGACCAGGAGAGAGGGGAGTTTTGCTCCTTATCCCGCAGATTGCAGCAG